ATAACAGTAGACCTTAAAAAACAAAAGAGGCATGAGAATTTAAGACTGATGTATAAATATTTGCAATTTAGATGTAATTTAGGCAGCTTTAATAACTCGAGAGCATTCCTATGCCAAGGAAGGAGAATGTTTTCATCTCTTTTTTATATCAGGAAGCTAAATCAAGAGAGGACTTAGAAAATATAATGCCATCAGTTACCAAACAAAGGCAGCTCCAGTGTCAGAAATGGAGGGATAATGGTGTATTAAGTTCACAGTTGGTGTCACAGAATCAAGAACTTGCAAAAGACTTTTTTTTTCTTTTCTGGCGTGTGTTGCAATGCTAATTATTCGATGAACTATTCTCAGATATGCTCCAATTTGAAAATGAAAGTCAAGGAATTTTACAGTTAGAATACACAATGAATTAATGCAATGGTAACGTGGAGTGTATATTTAATATTTGATAATAATCCACTCTTATAAGTGTTACCTAAAACTTCTCTTTAGGATAATGTAAACATTTTAAATAACGTTTAAGGATTTTTATTTGTTTACCCCCAAACAAATTTTTCCTTCAATAAAAATACTTTCTTTTTTACACAACTCTCATATTTTTAAATAAAAATAAAAGCTTATCATTATTAAAAAAAATACAAAGAAAATGAAAAAATCAGTTGCACCACCCAAAGATGACCACCTATATTTTTATATTTTTGGACTATATACAGAAACTCTACACATGTTTATTTTTTTAATAAAAATGATACTAGTAACTTTTTTCATACTTCATATTTATAAATCTATTTTAATTTCAATAAAGATACATCCATAAAATTAATTTAATAGTTGTATGGTATGTGGATGTTTTATTTAATAATCAACTTACTTGTTATTGAAACAAATACTCTTTCCATATTATTTAACGAGAAAGTTAAACTTACCGGTGTACGATCACTCCACTGCCAGGATCCTTGCAAATCAGGGCTCCTTTTATTCAAACCTATCCACAGCCAACGCTGGTTACTATGTAAAAAGGCAGCATTAAGTAAATTTGAGCACAATAATTGGCAAAAATATTTAGCATTCACAATGTCCGAAATACTTAGGACATGGAAGTTTATTCAGAAGACCTGTCACTAACTGAAAAGCAGTTTCAAGCTATGTAGAAAAGTGTTCTGAAATGAAACCAAACCCTAAATATGGGGTAGCTAACGAAAAGGAGCCATGCTTTATAAAATTAAATTTTAAGTTATTTCCTTCACACGAAAGGCAAAAACTATTCTGCTTTTGACTTAAGAGGGGAAAAAAAGTACATAATTATTCCAAAACTTTTACTGCAGACCTTCAATATTAGACAATGTTTTCAGATACAGTCAAATACGATGATGGCATTTCCTTAAAGCAGTGGTCCCCAACCTTTCTGGCACGAGGGACGGGTGCTCCTATGAAAATCTAATGCCTGAGAACCGAGGTGGAGCTGAGGCAGTGGTGCTAGTGTTGGTGAACGGCTGCAAATACAGATGATGCTTTGCTCACTCGCTTGCTGCTTACCTCCTGCTGTGTACCTGGTTCCTAACAGTCCATGGACTGGTACTGGTTTGCGCCTGGAGGTTGGGAACCCCTGCCTTAAAGTATCTGTCCTTAACGATATTAAATATCTTTTCTTTAAAAGGGAGGACAAACCATTTGGCTAAATTTTTATTAAATTTTAAAAATTATTTAATTCCCACTGCCAGTTAAGTTTAAAATAAACACGTATTTTCTAAATGCCAAACTCTATGGGCTCTACTAGAGCAAAATAATTAAGTGATCACTTAAGTGATTATATTTGACACTCATAGCTATTATACTTTTATGTACATGGCACTGAACTAGGTGCAGTAGTGATCCAGAGAAGCACGAGGCCTAATATCTACCCTCGAATGGCATATAAACTAGTCAAAGAGATAAGCTATATGTGAACAAATATAAGACCATTTTTGAAAGACATCAACTGATATAAAATTTGTATATTTTGGTAGTGCAAAAAATGAAAGGTCGTTGTGGGCTGTAGGAAGTCAGGAAACATTTTGTGAGGTTGGTAGGACAAAAGACAGTCTTCAAAGGATGGTTAATGTTCCTTTCGAGTCATGACATGACTGTTTACCGCTTGCCAGTATTCAGACTGGCTGAGAGGAGAAAGGGTAAGTATTCCAGGGAAGAATACGGAGGCAGGGACATACACTGTAAGTGATCCCTTTCCCACAAAGAAATTCGTGCACTAGCCAGGGGGATATTGCCTATATAAACAGAAGTGATATAACCATAAAAAAATTTTCTCCACCTCTAACCCAACTTGAAAATGTTCTCTAAAATGTACTGTACATTCTAGGCCTTAATAAAAAGACCATTTTCCATGTAATTTTTTGTTTTTTGTAATGCTGGTTTCTTCCTATATAATTTAACCTGATTGCATATAGTATGTGTGATCAGTACATATGAATGTATATTACATATACATAACTATATATGCAAATGTTATATGCATATAAATGTAACATATATTAGACAAGAAGTAGAATCAAAATCTAAAATTAATCCTTATTCTCAAGGTCAGTAGAATATATGGAATATATGGAATGTACAACTACAAGACTACTGGGAAATAACAAGAAGTCTCCATTTAAAAAATTTGCTAGTAAATCAAAGGTTAGAATAAACTTAACTTTAAATTAAATCCTCATTTTTTAGTAAAATAATTGCTTTCCTTTATTGTTTTCCTTTACTCAACATTCCCTCATATTTTAATATCAATAAACACTTTTTTATCTTTTCAACTTCGAGCTTTTCGACTTACTGCAATAACATAAGAGAATTTTCCCCTTTTAGTTTTTATTGTAACATTGTTTTGTTTGACAGAGAAAGATCACCAATTCATAGACTTAAGATAAATTCCCCTGGAGACAATTAAGTCCAGTTCGATATTAGTAGCTATAAGGGGAATCTGCAGTTTGTATCTTCAACTATTCAGAGCTTTCTTATAGGCTTCCAAATTTATCATATTTCCCAATTGTTGTATATCTAAACCACAGTCTAGATAATTGCCATATAGTATAATTAAAGTCAGATGGCTAAAATCAAGAAGAGGTTAAGTTTTAGGGAATTTGTGCAGAATTTTGGGTTCCCCTAAAATAAGCATTAGATATTTTATCTTCTTCACACAATCAACAGTACAACCAGAAGGATGATCAATGATCATTTGTCACATGCATTTATTCTAAAGTCTGTTCCACAGGCAGGCTCTTTACAGATCTATCCTTAACCTAACCACCCAAGTCCTCTCTTAGCTCCACCTTTCCCACTTAGAAACCTCTGATTTCAAGCCCATTTTGGCCTCTGCTGCATCCCAAGAGAATGATTTCCCAAAGAGCCAAGTTGGCCTTATTGTCCAAAATCTCTAATCTTCACTACTTTTTGAGATTAAACTTCATTTCAACCCAGACATTATAGTTTTCAGTTTTCATTTCAAGAGATTCATTAGGGTGTTATAAATATAGAAAATAGTAGCTCTCTGAGTGAGTGTATGTGAGTGTGTGTGTGTGTGTATGTGTGTGTTTTCCTGTGTCGTAAGAGGTGAAAAGTATTTCCTCAATTATAGCCCTTGGTTTGACTTGATTTATCTGTAGGCAGATAAAGAGAAGAAATTGGAAGTCACATTAATCACTGCACACCTCTAATGTGGATTTTAGAAAATTTGAGAAAAAAATTGATCATAACTTGGGAATCGAATCAACTGAAATTTTGTCTTTATAAATTTCTTATACTCCAAGCCCTAAGTATATGGTTTTAAGGCTGTTAGGTTAATAAGGCATTGCATAAAAGGTTAATATGTGTATTTGTGTTAAAATTCCTACTTTTAATCAAATTTCCTGCTGTAACTGGTTTCTAAGAAAAACAGTCATAACCTCCAATAAATACTGTTTGATGAGGGTGCTTAGTCTGCAAAGCCTTAGATTTATATCTAAATCCATTCACGCCTCATCACAGGAGGTAGTGCACACAGCAGCAATAGCATTGCAAACAAGGCTTTCTTCTCTAATCCTATGACTATTTTTATACTACAGTGGCTTTCCCTGGTGGGCTGCCATTAAGAGTTGCAAAGATCTTAGAGCCTTAATGACTTGGTCACCATGAATCCTTTTCATTGAAATACAAATAGAGACGTGGAATAGTAGTTAGTGAGAAATATAGCAGTAATCTGACAACTCCCTGGCATGCAATACATAATTTGGGCAATGGACATCTCACTGAGAAAGGTCAATTCCTGAAATAAAAAGCAAAAGTGTTCAAGGAGTAAGCTTTAGAATCATCTTATAAATAGGTTTGCTTCCTTCCTTCTCTTCAAGCCATGGTCACAATTTTGCTTTTAGAATATGTTGTCTTTCTAAGTATAGCATGGGCAAATGATCTCTTTATTAATGGAGAACATATTAAGCAGACGACATAGTCTGTTTAATATGCCATTGTGTTAACTGCTGGGAAAGAGCTTAATACAATATGGTCCCTATGAGTGAAAGGATTACGGTAATGTTTTTTCTTTGAGCTTTGCTGGTTTTTAAATTCAATATGCATTACTCAGAAAAAAATTAAATATTGTACATGTTGTGTTATACTCAATGTTAACTGTTTATAACTGGGAGCTAGGATTGAGGTGATTTTTATTTTCTTCATTATTTTTTAGATTTTACAAATTTTACATAACGAACTTGTTTTTTGATTGGGAGGAGGAATCTCAGCAAATGTGATCAGAAACTAAGAAACAAATCAATAAAGATTCCTTAATTACCTCAGACTTCAGTTTTCTTTCCTGGTGTAATCTATTTCATATACAGAAGCTTGTCAGGATCATTTATATCATGTATGATGTTCTCTTTTCCATCACTTGATTCCCACAAATATCTACAACCTCACTGCTTAGAACTTATCCATGGCTCCCTATTCTAGTTAAAGTTTCCTAACATTTTGCTTAGAGGTATTCTTCAAAATCCAGTTTGCTTATGTCAGTATTTTACTTAAAAATACTTTAGCTTAGACAGCATGATATTGTGTGTGTTAAGCTTGAAATCTAGGGGCCAGTAAGTCACTGTGCTTGAAATTCTCACTTCAGAGAGAATCAGCAGTATGTAAGAAAGGCCATGTTCCAGAGGCAGCCACCACAGGATGTCTGTTATCCAAAGCCACATCTGAGGCTTTGGTCATTAGCAGAGTGGATGTCAGAAATGGGTTTACATCAGCAAAATTGGAAGATTTTAAAATCTGCTGGATCTTAAAAATGGACTCTCATTGGTGAAATTGAAGTTATTCGCGAAAAGAGGAATGGCTAAAATATTTAGAGACACTCTCACCTCATGAAAGGGTATTAGAATCTGGTGAGGCTGGTTAGAAATGAGGCATTAGAAATCGATCTGGGGCTTGAGCTCCAAATGCTCCCATGTCCTGTCACTGGGTCGGGTGATTGGGACTGCCTGATGCCGACTATAATGGGAACAGAGTCCTGCCTCCGGAACACTGTCACATCGACCTCAAATAAACCTTCTACTCAAGATGGTGGTTGGAACACCTAAAAGGACAGATTGCTGAGATGTTGTCAGGCTTACAAAATAGGTTGTATGAAACATTTTGTGCCTGCCTCAATGAATGTGTGTTTAATAAATATCTGTATGTGGAGAAAGATTTGGTCTGAGTTTTGCATTCATTATAATCTACTCTCAAAGTTGTAGGGAGTAGCCAAGAAACACTCATCTCAAAAACAAAACAAAACAAAACAAAAAACCTAAGAGTATATCCAAATGAGGCTGGGTTAGTCTGCCATGAAATTTTGCACAATAATTTTTAATGCTACAAAATAGTCTAGAATACCTGAAATTCTGTAATGGATAAATAAATAAATATTTATTTATTTATACAAACTATTTTGTAAGCCTGACAACATCTCAGCAATCTATCCTTTTAGGTGTTCCAACCACCATCTGTTTCAATAAATAAATATTTATGGGACACAGGTATTGTATTTTACATCAAGTTCCAAGCACACAATAGTGAAACTTTACTTTTTTAATGAGAAAAATACAATAGTATAATAATGGAAATCTGGGAAAAGTGGAAAATGTTCACACTTTTAAAAAGTCACTCAAAATCTTTATCTCCCAGAGGTAATAATTATCTTTTTTTGATGCATTTTTGCAATCTACTTTTTAATTTAAATAGTACATTTTTCGCTTTTATAATTTGCTTTTCCCACCACTTAATATATTATAAATATTTACATGTTTAACATATTTTTTAAAAATCTTAATGCACAGGGGATAATGCCAAAGATCAACAATATGATGACAATAGGGACCTTTAACTTTTTCTGACTTTCATGAGAATACATTTAATGTTTAATCATTAAGTGTGATATGGCTATTGGTTAAGCTATCCTTCTAATCTTTAATAAGAATTTCTATGCTATAAATATACAATATACTTAACATACAATATACTTAACATATTAAATTAATATAATTAAATTAATATAATTAAATGTAATTAAATATGTTAAGTATATTGTATATTTATATATTAAGCCAGGGATGAATAGTGAATTTTACCAGATGCATTTTCAGCACTTATTAAGATGATCGCATGCTATTTGACTTAATATATAGAGTTCCCAGTACTGACCCAGCCTTGTATTCTTGGAAGAAATCCTACATTGTCAAAGTGTGTAATTCTGAGGCATTATAATGCAGTGGGTTAGGAAAGTGGGTTCTAATAGGTTCAAATATTGGATCCTTTACTGACCAGGTATATAATCCTGGGCAAGTTTTACTTCTCTATGTCTCTGTCTCCTTATTTAGATAAAATGGGCATAATCATAATACTTGCTGCATAGGTCGTTGTAAGGAATAAATGAGCTAATAGAAAGAAAACACTTAGGACATATAAGGCACATAATAAACATTATGTGTTTATTATATCACTATTTACTTTTTCAAGTCTAGTCATGTGGTTGGTTTGTAATTCTTTGTGCTACTGTTGACAGGCTTTGATATCAGAATTAAATTGATTATTGAAAAAACCAGTTGCTTGCATCAGTTTCTATGTAATGGAATGCCAGCTCTTGCTTGTACTAGTGAAACACACGGTAATGATCTCTTTTGTCAAATGTGAAGGAATACACCTTTAAAACCATACAGTTCCCATCTCTTTCTTGGAAGATATTTTTTGTCGATTTGTATAATAATTTATATTTTCCTAGAAATTGTTCATTAATAATTGTATGTGTAATAGCATAGAATTATGCATAATATTCTCACCAATTAAAAAATTTCTCCATGAAATGGGTTTTATAATCCCTTACTCGAGATTCATTTTTTAAGTATCTTTTTTTTTTTAATTTTCATGATTTAATCATCATTAGATTTTTTTTTTTTTTTCCTCCCCCTTTACATTCTGGTCTCAGTACTTTTGCTCATGTTCTGTTTCCCTGGCTCCTTCTCCTATCTTACCTTTCAAAAAGTTACCTTATCTTTCAAGAAATATGCTTCTTCATAACATTTTCTCCAATTATACTTCCCAGAAATGCTTTCTTCCCCTTCTGAATTCCTATGGCCCCGATTAACCTATATACTAGATTTTTCACCATACTTTTCTTATCCCCACTGTTGGACTTTATTATGCTATGCAAATAGTGGGCCTCTGTCTCCCTCATCTTTGAATCCCTCATAGAGTCTTGCACATAAAAATACTTGATGTTCAATGACCGCTAAGCACTGAATGGCCCTTTTAAAAGGATAATAAAACATGTCAATTCTGAATACCTAGAAGACATCCAATTTAGCATAGAAGATATCATTCTAAAAGTATTACCTCAACTGGTCCATTAAAAAGTGAAGAAATGCTTTTATTTCATCCATATGATGGAAGCTAGGAAGGTGTCCTCCAAGTGCTTGGCAGAATCTTTCAGCTTCTTCCCAGTTCCTCTTTCTTACAACTCTTTCTATATGAAATAGCTTAACAAAATATAATGTTAATTTGTTTTCTGGTATAATCATAAAATATTAGTAATTTTAAAGTCAATTATAGTAAAATGTGTGGGCCCCTGAAATAGATTCTTATAGTTGTAGGTAAATGTGCATATGTTGTATCGTGGACAGGTCCTGCTAAAAGTGTCACTAAAAGCCAGCACAGGTGTCTGCTACTGTTGTCAGAGGAATGACCTTCCTCAGTTAGGCTGGCAAACTACTCCAATAAGATACTGTGTTCTCCTGCATTCCTAGGACCTTGAGAGATCAATTGAACCAGCAGATAAAGCATGAAGGATACATATGAATAGTTTAGGAGAGGACTTCTGTAAAGTAATGTAATAACAATATAATTTGGTACGTAATACACTGAGACCTGCACAAGTACAGTATTATTTTCTGATGAAGAAGAATCAAAGGCGCGAGAACACTGACAGGTGGCAAAACAAAACTTGCCACTTCAGATCGTTTCTTTGGTTTGTGATGACTAATTTTATGCCAAAAGAAGCACAGTTATTGCAAAGGAAGAGGAGAAACAGACGAGAAAACTGTAAGCTGAATTATTTTGTCTTGATTCTTCAGTTCCCTGTGATTTAATTATATATTCTTGCCATGGCCCTCGGATGGGTAAAGTATACTTCCTTGTACGTTGACTTAGGACTCTGCCATGTGACTTGCTGTGATCAATGGGATATTAGTGGCGGTAAAGTGAGCAGAGGCCTGAAATGTGCTTATATGGTTGGGCTTGCCTTTCAGGCTCTAGTGATTGACTGTAAGAACAAGCTCCTGACAGCTGCTGCCTGTTCAGCCCAAGACCCAAATTGAAGGGCCACAGACCCCAATTCAGAGCCAGCAGCCCACCATGGGTGACCCAGAGTTGAAAGCAGAGCCAACCACTGAAGCCAAAACTCAATCAACCAAATGTTATGTGACCCAGAGATCTGTGAACATGAAAAATGTTTGTTGTCATAGCCACTGAATTTGGGGTGGTATATAACAATTTCTATGTGGGACAGTTGACTGATATAGACCCTAAAATAATTTTTTTTTACATTTTAAGAAATGATAGAACTCTTCCTTTGATTAACAAGAATTAGAGGGATATGAGAATCATAAGCAAAGTGTCAGCATGGCATGAAGGCTCACCCAACTTCCCAGAACAAGAGAACCCTAGGAAAGACCCAGTTCTAATTCTGGCCCTGCTCTTTTGGACAGGACAAGAGCTTATGTGGGGATGAGCTGCTTGATGTCAGAGATTCAATGATGCCCTCCCCAACAAGGACTCCCCCAAACACTTTGGTAGGTTACATATGTGTCTGGGGAGAAGCGTAATTTGTATAAGGACATGGACTACAATAGTAGATAGGCAACTTTATTGAGGGATTGAATGAGAATGTTACTTTACCTTATAACAAGAAAGACTTGAGGGGAAAGCATGCCAGCCTTCGGGACAGAGGTCTTCAGGCTTGGGAGGTGCTTCTTCAGACTCAGCAGGCCCACTGATTTTCTTGCAAATGGTAAGTGCTCTGAAGTTTTTGCAGTCTTTCACCTCCCACTTCCCAAGAGACTTTCCCGTAGTCATAGCCACACACCCGCCTGGAGAAGCTGGGGTTGAATTGGAAAGTTTAATTAAGAATTACATTTTAAAATTAAACTCCAAACATTTCCAGCGCCCTTACTCTTTATTTGAGCCAAGGTGGGGAGAGAGAATAGGAAAGAAATGTGTTATTCATAATAATAATGATGACGTGATGACAAGGATGGTAATACAGAGAAATGTGTTCGCTACTTGCCATGTACTATTCTAAGAGGACTAAATGAACTGAATCCTCACCAAAAACAAACAAACAAACAAAACAAAAACAAAAACAAAAAAATTCTAGAGTGGATTCTATTGTCATACTGAGGTACAGTGAGGATTAGTGACTTGTCTAAGGTAATATGTTAGCAAGTGGTTGATCCAGGACTAGAATCCAAGCGGTCTCTGGGCAGAGCTGTACCCTAAACCACTATGCTTCTTGGGGTAGCAGAAGTGGTTCATTTAAGCTTTAAGCCACTTTAAGGTTTTTAAGCAACTTAATAAATTTCAAAACAATACTCTTTAAGATTCAGATCCAAAGGAAGGACTGGTTCAACAAAGGTAGAAGGAGGTATATATTTGTTTACCATTTATTTCACATAAGCCAAAATTTTATTTATTTGCAAAAACATTAAAAGATAGTATTGTCAGATGCATTTTCCAGATAAGAATAAGTGACTTGCCCACATCATAGTTATTGAGTAATGGAGTCAAGATTCAAACCCAGATGGCAAAGTGCCATGCTCCCTTCTCTATCACACCACACTGCCTGAAGTGGGCAGAAGACAATAGCATACTCTGGAGGTAATGAGAACAACTTCTGTTCTACCAAACAGAGAAGCTATATGGTCTCATGTCTCATACTTATTCATGGACATAATGAAGAACAAGAAACTGGGAAAAATAATCTGTGTTAACTTAGAGGAGTGTGTTATAGCTTGGTCTATAATGGCTTGCCCATTATAGACCAAGCTGGCTGAAGCTGGGAGTAATAATGGTAAAAAGAGCTTAATGTCAGTCTTTCTGGCTACAGGACTGAGAGAACAGACATTGCAGCTACTTCCTGAGCACCTCTCCAACCACCAAGGCTTATCCATGAAGTATGTGACTCTAAAAATGACTCTAAGACATTGACTCTAAGATGTTGTCTATAAGAGAAATCACATGTAATTTACATGACAGAATATTTTAATTCAAGATGAGATTTGATCAGGATTAACATCTATATCCATATTCTACAAGTAAAAAGATGACTTTGTTATTGATACCACTCACATTTATGATGATGATCATGTGTTACAAATTCTGTGGATATTCTCTATTTCAAATATTATGTTTAGTTATACACTCACGTTTTAATTTCTGTGCTATGAAAACTGGTCTTCATAATCACATTGTACAAGCAAAAGAAAATATAAGTAATATAAAAGGAGAAAAGTTGAATCCTTTATAACTGCTATCTTCTACAAAGCCAAAATCCCATAAAAAGCATTAGATTAGAAATCAAGAGATCTGGATTTTAGCAATTCAATAACCGTGTAACTTTTGTCAAGTTAATCATCTTTCTAAGCCTCTGTTTTCTCAATTCTAAAAACAGAGGGACTTCTGAGGTCCTTTCCAGCTCTAATGTTAAGATTCCATGGCTAATTGACCTCAATACTTTAGGCTGGCCTAAGGAGGATGAACTAACTTTCAGAATAAGTAATATCTACGATATATTGCTTGCTTAATTCTCGCCTATTGTAAATAATAGAAATTAATACATTCGATCTGTGAGAAAGAAGTTAAGAAGCAGAAAGATGAAAAAATAAAGTGTTTCACAGTAAAGTTTCTAGATTCTGCTTGAGACTTACGTGGAAAAAAAAAAAAACTCATGCTAAGGGTTCTAGCTCTATGCCATTAAATGGTAGTTTCTGAGAACTGAGTTTTCCAGCTTTTATTGGGTTATTCACAAGGATTTAAAAAGGAAGATGTAGTCACTGCTTCTATTTATGATCTCACAGACAGACTCTAGTCTTGGAGATCATAATTTCCCTCACATTTCAAAGGTAAGTGAAGAACATATTTGGGAGGATGCTGTTATTTCACAAGTCACTGTATTCCATCACTTTAAAGGCTAACACACTCACCTGGCTCAAGAAAATTCCAGTTGGAAAAGGTTACAGAATGTTTTACTCCACCATCACTTGTCCAACTATACTCTCCGCGTGAATCTGCATCTCTCAGGCCAGTCCAGAAGTATTTTCCTGGAGATTTAGTATACTTTTTAATCATATCATTCAGGTATTCTTGTTCAAATCTACAAAACAGGAGTCAAATTTGTAGGTGTTTTCACAATGACTGAATTACTATATAAATTGAAGATGCACCTTTTTCTTAAGAAGAACATTAGCAAAGGAACCCAGAATCAAAAGTTCGTTAGTATATGTTTACTGATGGGCACACCTGCTCATTATAGTCAGATTGCAGTTGGTTCCGAAAGGGACCTCATCCTTGTAAATCTTGTAACAGGTTTCTCCATGTCTCTTCCATCCCTAAATCAGAGGAGAAATATCGTCAAACTGTCTTCTAGACTCGATGATGCTCCCTCTAACAAGCAGGGTTCTGCTACATTGCTAACATCTCACAACTTACGGAAGTTAAGGACAAGGCCAGTGAATGCATACACGTAATGAGGGTATGATACAATTTCATAGATAACCTCCACAAGACTGAGCTTGTGTCAGACAGAAGGTGTGTCTTTAGGTCTGTTTACTCCTAGTGACTTGCTCATCATAAGAGTATAATTTTGCTGGTTGAATTACTTTTGAACAGGACTAATATAAGAGAGGGAAGTAAATACAGCATCATTGAGGATAGTAATTACGTACATTGTTATAGAAATTCATGAATAGGTGACTCTTTTTCCTATAACACTTTTTTGTTCTGTAAGAACGTCAATATACTATGATTCACTGTACTCACTGCTCTAATGTAAATGAACTGAAGCTAGTAATTCTTGTTTCCCAAGTCTGAATTGTTTAAGTCTCAACTCCCATCCCTAATCAAGAAGGTGTAATACGCTTAGGAAATTTTATGCAGAGCTTTTACATACCTCATCTGGAGGACACATCTTATCAGATCTTGTATCATTTATGTTTTCTCCCTTTTTCTTACAAACATATTTAAGTTTCTCTTCACATGATTGGACTTTCCACTGACCTAGCTTTTAAAAAACAAAAAGAAAAATTTCCCACAAGACGTTATTTGCCATATGTTTAGAATTGAACCCTAACTTATTTTAAGTCAAGATAGTTTCTTCTCACAAAACTATGAAGCGGGAAGACAGGAAGGAGGAAGAGGAGAAGGCAGAAAGGGAGAATGAATATAAATGAATGATGAAATCTGAGAACATACTCCTAGAAAATGCTACCCCACAGACCTGCATAATTTCAGGATCACCTCAAGGTCACAGTAGGGATGAATTTCATGAAGAACTCAGCCCACAAACAGTTGCCAGTGTTCTAGTCTTCTTCCATATGACATGGCCAAAGATGGTCCACAGGTTAAAAACTCTGGGGCATGTCACTACCCTGTCTCAGTTTCCTCATATGTAAAATGATGATTAGAATAGCCATTCTCCAAGAATTCTACAATCAAAAGATTTTTCCAATTCTACTTCAAGCTTAGACTTCAAAGTTCTCTCTTTCAAATTTATTAAACATTTATTTTGCTTAATTAACTAAGTAATTCTCTTTCTTCAAATTAAATTTTAATAAGTCAATTGTGATAAGGTTTTTGAGAACTGAATTTTCCAGTTGGACACTGGAATGCTATCTAGGTATGCTATCAGTTCAGTCTTGCCTATGGGAAGTCATTTCTTTCTACCTTTGACACTCTTCTAAAGACATCTTAGATATCCTTTTAAATAAGCTGTTCAAGATACAGCTTATTTTAGACTCAACTAAAGCATGTTCAATAAATGTTTAAGCATTCTACAAGAGTAAGATGTTCAATGACTAAACTTAGACAATTTTTTAATAAAAATATATATTTTTTACTTCTCAAAGTAGGAATAACATAAAACTTCATCTGAACATGAATTCAGAAGATGGGATTTTTCAGATGGCTACATGTTAAATATCGCACTGGTGGTCCTGAGATAAAGCAGCTTATTAGAACAAATCCGGCACAAGAATCGGTGTTCTAAAGGGATTCTCTTGATGTTTCAGACCAGAGCAGCTGCTCTCAGACAGGAAGTGGATTGCTTACTTAGTCATTGTTTTATTTACCTTTTCTCAGTGGCTACCAGAAAGATCATCTACAGGGCTCTTACCTTTTATTTTCTTTTACAGCTAAAACACAATTATCCCAACCAAAGTAATCTTAATATTACTATCGGGTATAATAGTAAGAATATAAATAAACCACACAGGAAGTTTCCTACCTTTCCTAAATAAGAAACACAGTTGGGGGTCTTATGGTAGGGAACATTTGGCTCATTCTCATCCCAGTATGTTAGAGTAACTTCAGTACCATCTGACCATTGAAATAAAGCTGGTGTATTTATGTTCTTAAGACCTGTCCATGTTTCTTCAGCATCTAAAAGAAAAATGTTTCAGTTGTTTGCAGTTTACTCAGCTACATACTTCAATATGTACACTGTTACTGATGTTTACATTCTGATATGGGATTTTAAGAGACTCGATGGTATTATTCTTTTTTCTTTTACTTTTAATTCAGAAGATGGTTTCTTAACCTGTTAAAATGTTGATAAGTTAGGCAGGCTGAGTGATGAGGGCTTTTCAGGTCACTCATGTGGGTAGAGCACACAGATGGAACAGCTGTACTATGGCCTTTAAGGCTGGGTGTTCCCGATACTTGACTTAGATAAATCTTGCTTTATAGAGCATAGTAAAATTATATAAATGAAATCATAGATATCCTAATTAGAATAAGAATATTGTCCATCACTGCCCTGGAATGAATATACTGCCTTTCCAGGTAAAACAATTGGCACCACGCTGACACAGAATAGGTATCTACCATTCACTATTATTAGTAGAAAATCCTAGGAGAAGATTATAATATTAGCAGTGTATTTTTGTTCTTCAGTCGTTAGCTTTCAAATAATTACAAAAGTGAAATAATCATCAGTTAAGTGTTTGGAGAACTTAAACAGCATTTAGCTTATGAGAAAAGGGAAATTAGTCAATCAATGGTTGTTCTGTCAAATTGGAAGCCACTAGCTACCAATGTGATTATTTAAATTTGTAAATTAATTAGACTTAAATAAAAGTAAAAATTCAGTTCCTCAGTTTCCCTAGCTACATTTCAAGTGCTCAAAATCTACAAGTGCCTGGTGGCTATTCTATTGGACAGTACAGATTACAGAACAGTTCCATCATGGCAGAAAATTCTGTTGGACTGTGCTGATCTATAAGGATCAAATTGTAAGCTTTTCATTCCCTCTAAGTGTCTGAAAATAGGGATACTTTAAAATGTTTTAAACCTCTCAAATAGGATATTTTAAAAACTTACCCCCATTATGGAGTTTTGTCACAACCACTTCCACATCTGCTAAAGAATGAATGCTGATGAGGTCACTGCTGAAGGCCTTGCATTTTACATGTGCCTCATCCCAGGAATCACTTTCATTTACCAGCAGATAGCAAAACCCATTATTTGGCAGCCAGCCTGCATCACAGCGGGTATCTGAATATGTCCAAACATCTGGGGGAAAAGCAGCTATTTATATTCCAGTAAAGTTACAACTATTTTGAATCAATAATATTACAAATTCTTTTTTCTTGAATCCTAAGGCTTCTGGAAAACTAAGGAATGTGATGTCATGAATTTATGAGGTGCTTAATGTCTACAAAGCATCGTAAGAGTGACTACAGGGGTTCAGATAATATGACTTTAAGGTGATACAAACAGGCTACATGGCTGGGCTCAGATTATTTAAGGAGGGACTGCTCTTAGTTCTAGTAGACAGAAGAAAGGTGTGGGGTAAGCCAGTTGCTGACAAATCTCTTCCTTGGTACAGGATTGGTTAGGTTCCCCTCCAGTCTCTGCCTCTGAGGAATTATGAGGTTGAGCTTCCTTTTCGTGTATAGTCAACTTAGCAGGGGATGTGCATTAATGTTCACTGTTGAACAAAGGATGGACAGAGACTTAAGGAACAAAATAAGACATTTATACACTCTACACCAAGAGGGGGCAGCAGTGGAGGGTAAGGGTAGAGGGCATCTCTTCTTTCTTCCCCTCTCCTAGACCTCTAGCCCTCATGAAATTAGTGGTTCTTTGTTTTGACCATGATAAAGTTCATCTAAATGATGGTAAAGAAAGATTAAGGAGTGAGGTATAACCCATACAAAATATATCTACCCCACTTAATAGATCTTGAAAGTAGTTCAGTTACTCGGATTTCATTGATTCAGAACTATTTGTAATGTTTGTTTTATGAAAACGCAGCATCTTAAAAATGTGGACGGTTTGTTTTTTACTAAAGGATAAAATTCAGGTTCATCTAGCTTCTCACACTTGCGAGATAACTCAATTAACTTTAAGGTTCTGAAACACTACTTATTATTATTATACTTTACAATTGTGATAAAGCAACAGAGGGAAAAAACATCACCCATAACTGAATTTAAAACAATTATTTTCCTATTCTAGCCTTTGTCCCTATGAATTCATATTCTTACAAGATTAAAATGATAAGTAGGCACATCATTTTGTTCTGCTCTTTGTATTTTCCTGCTGGCACAGTTATTATAATAAATGCATATTATTCAATCATGTGGAAACATCATGATTTACTTAATAATTGCTACTATGAGATATTTATTTGACCTATCATCAGCCACCCTGGTTTATTTTCATTTGTGCTCTTTTTTCTATTATGCCTTTTGTTACATGGACTAAATTTGGTGTGAATCAACTTGGAAGATAAATGTTCATTTTCCCCTATTATTTTAAAACATCCCTTACATTCTTTATTCCATATACTTATTATTTAATCTTAAAACGGTAGCTTTATGCTCCTACACGGCTAAGAAAATTTATGCTTTACTCCTCCTGCCCTGACATCTCTTAATGAAAGACATTTTCAAACCTTCTTTTTTCCTCCCAATTTTGAGTATTAGTCTTTCTTATTCAGTGAGAATTTAATCAAATGCCAAGGATTCTGTGGGCACCATGAATGATGGTAAGGGCATTTCTCTTCTCCGTTCTTTCAAAGACTCCTCAAACTTCTCTGCTTCTCAAGAAATTCAGTTGTTCTGTCTCTCTTACCTTCAAACTCCCTGGAGAAAAAAAATCCCTCTACACATTTTGTCTTTCTGCGTCTCTACCTGATTTATCAAAGAAAAGACCTAAAGAACCAGCCTGGCAAAGAAGGACCGAGGAGGGTTGGGCATTGTGGGGGAGGAGGTGGGAAAGCCTGGGAGTGTTCCCATGTCCATCATTTTTGACTTGTCACAGAGGCAAGTAACGGTACATAAGACCTGAGTGTGCATCAGCATCACCAGGAAGCTTTTTAAACACCAGACAGCTGGGTCCCACCCTGAGAGTTTCTGATTCAGTAAATCTGGGGTAGGTCCTGAGAAACTGGATTTAAACAGGTACAGGCAATGCTGATGCTCTTGGTCTGGGGACTACACTTTGAGAATCATTGCTCTAGGAAAAAAACAGCCACTTGTGAACGGCAATCTATTTCCCATCTAGACTATCTCCGCCTGCTTATGGGCATAGACCAAACCGAAGTTTTATTCATGTATAGTTGATAATATCTAACCACTGGTTCAAAGTCAATACTTTTCAGCATTGGCAGTATCAGGTGAAAGAAAGGTAGGAATAGATATCTGAAAAGGATTGACTGGACTTCACAAAACTGTAATTTTAAGACCCATTTGTACAAGGAAGTGAGAGAGATACCTGTTAACTCCACTGTATTATTTAATGCTTTCTTGCAGATGTAGGGCAGTTGAGCTTCACAGGTAAAACCCTGCCATAGACCAGATGTGGCATTCATGCGAGCACAGCTTGACCCACCTATGGTAGGTGCACTGGGCACATCTTAAATGATAAAATTTTCAAACAGTTAAAAGGAGAAGGTTAGGATCAGAGTGATAGTTAGAAAAAATAATTGGCATTCCTAGTTTCCTACTTTTATGGGAACCCACAAAACAGTTAAAAACTTAAAGTAAATTGAAATGTGTAAGCCTCAATGGACAATCATGTGCTTAAATATGTCTTTCTTCTAAAATATAAAATACAGGGAGAAAACACTCTGATATACCGTAGTTAATTTTAAAAACAAAACCAAAATCCAAACCTTTTTCCCCAATCAACTTCCATGTCACATCTTGTGGTTAGTAGCTGTTAGGTTGCTACTCTATTCAATAAATACACTAATTTTTGTGTATGTAATGCCTTTTAGGCCTTGAATTAAATATAAGTTATCTTTAAAGAGTCTACTTATTTAGAGAATAGAGAATTTATTTACTAATAATGAAATTTCATTAAAGTAAAATGGTCTATTGGCATTTTATTGTACTTAACTTGTTTTTCTTATATGTATGCAGAATACTTTTGTATTGAAGTTGATGTTAAATTTTAGGTTCTACATTTGACAGAAGCCTAAGATTTTATTTTTTAAAAGTGTATCTAAAACTTCCTTTTTGGGGAAAAAATCTTTTGGCAAACTAGGGGTTTTTTTTCACTACAAATTTTTCTTTAAAGTATTTATTTAAGTAATGAAATATAACCATTATGTTCTCGGTAATTGGGTGCTACAGTGGGAAACCCCCAAGAGTTTTAAAATGAAGGAATATTTCCATATTAGAGTTAAGCTGCAGATGAAACACGACATAGGTCAGTCATAGACATGCCCAGTCCTCTAAGGGACACGGAATGGCTCCTGGGCCATGAGATGAGACTCATTCTGCTCTTACCTAAAAATGTAGCATTGCTCTAAAGGTTAGAGAGAAATATTCAGTTGCTCATGGTGTGGTTCAACTTGACTGTACTGGTATCAACCTGGCTATAATGGCATTTGGCTATAATGGTTAAGCCTTAGAAGGGCTTAGGAAAAAAAATAATTCTGAGAGGTAACCATAATAAAAGTTGTCAAGATTTAAAATTTTTATGTGCTCTCAGTGAGTAAGAAACTCTTTTTTATTTTTTTTGAAGCTTTTACTTTGTGCATAGTAGGTGGAAAAGGAGCAGTTACCTGGGTCCCAGTTGAGAAAGTTTAATGGCTTTTGATCAGACCATTCCCAGCCTCTAGAAGAGTACAGCTGATTTAAGCCAATCCAGAAGATTCTTGCAATGCCTTCTTTTTCTATAAGAATTACATAATTTTAACAAGTGACAAAATTACCTAGGTTATTTTCTAAGTCAGATTTAAGTTTCTACTAAAAGCAAAAATATCTGAAGGACTTGATGCAAGGCAGAAATCCCTGTAGGAGGCTGTTTGTCCAACAAAGGCAAGCAATGCTGATACACAAAAAAACTTCAGACTACTGAGAAACCCAAGGGTGATGAGCTGATTCAATTCAGCTTTCTCGTTAGCTTGTGCAATTTTCTTTCTTCTAAGGTAAAAACAGAATTTTTCAGAATAACTGTTTCACTACTTGTCAGAAAGCAGTTATATAGTCAGAGAGATGTAAAGTACAGCATAGGGAATATAGTTATAATATTCTAATAACTATGTATGGAATTGGATGGGTACTAGATTTATTGAGGTGATTACTTCATAAGGTATATAAATGTCTAGTCACTATGTTATACACCTGAAACTAATATAATATTGTATATCAACTATAATTGAAAAATAAATTTTTAAAAAGCAGTTATATAAGAAATAGCAGTTTCTGTTGCATATCTAGATCTTAAAAATCTGATTGTATTCCAGTCTAGCAGTTTAAATTCATTAAGCACGTATTATTTGCCAGGTACTAAAGATACAAAAACCAAAATGACAGTACCTGCCTTCATGAGGATTTTAATCTATTGGACAGATTTTGTGGACTTCTAAAATGGTAAAGTGTTATCAGTACTGTTTCAGAAATATGTCCAAGAGTTGTTTGGTAGACAATGGTATATACAGCTCTAGAGTCCAAAGGAGACATTTAGATTGGAAATAAAGAATGCGACACACACATACACACACGCAAGTGCCTGTGCGCAATACCGTAGAGATGTATCATTCCAATTTATCATTTGAAAATAAGATGCCATCGGCAAAAAAGAAGAAAGATAAAGAAGCAGAAATAATTTAAATAGCAGGGCTAATTGCAGATATGCAGGACAACATGCATATTCCCACAGGCAATGGATGAGATTGTGCTTGTATGGGTCCATGTGTATTAGAAAAAGAATGTAAAGAATGTGTGAATTATCGAAAGGATTTTCACACCACTGCAAGAAAGTCAACAGAATTATTCAAGAACCTGCTAAGACTTCATCAATATCACGAAGGAATACTTTGAATAATCCTATCACTCCCTTTGAATAATCCTACTGTTTACCTGCACATAGCAAGGACATATTTATGATGGAATAAAAGGATCTTTGGATGCTGTCAGGCTCTTAATTTGCTTCATTACGCTGTCCTATTTGTGATCTGTATTGGTAACTTATTCTTCATTAGAATCAGAGAATTTTAAAATTGTGACTGCATTGACAAACAGTAATGCTCTTTATGTGTCTTATCCTGAGTGGATGTGAATGAGAAATGGATAAATTCTAAAAGTTCTGGCTGGCCAAATACAAAGGGCAGGGATTTCTTATATGGCCCGGACAATCTGGAGCTGTACTTTTTTTCTACATACAGTCCAAGCAAGAAGTTGACCAATATGAGACTCTGCTTACCCTCATCTTTGCCATGAAGAAACAGATGATTGCTAGCATAAATCCCCATAACTAATCAAATAGGCAAGTTTACTAAGGCAGATATTTCTTGATTGTTCTCAAGACCCTTGTTCAGATCTGACTCTATATTTCTATTCCTCTCCCTACAGTGAGAGACGACAGAGCCTGATAAAGGTCATGTACCTGGGATGAACCAGATGAGAGCCTCTTCTAATGCATCAGAGAGGCCGTAGTCAGCAGGGACCCCGATCTAGCCTTGGGGCACCTGTCAAGGTGGCTCAGAGTGAATAGCCCCTCAACGTGGAGGCAGATTAGGAAGAATGAAAATGTGCTGCTCCTGCTCTGAAAACTATAGGGCCCTCTCTTGTAGCTCTGGGGTGAATCTGTGGTTAGAAGTTCCCTGGGAAGGCCAGAGTCATGGGAAACCTGCCTCCCAAACAAAATCCAGTGAGTATAAGGAAGCCAAGTCCCCCACCTAGGCCTCTGGATGAGTAAAACAAAATCAAACCTAATTAGGTACAAGGCAAGCAGAAAGGAAAAAGATAGCTTTTTCAGACTGCATGAGACTTAGCTTCACAGGGGCTGTTTCTGCTTTTTTTTCTGGCAGCAGATTCCCTGGTCCCACCCAACGATTAGCTACCAAACCAGAGACTGTCTGGGAATAACATTCGCCATTATGTTCTGTATATGTACAACTCTATTTCCTCAACTAGATCAAACATTTTGATCACAAAATCTGTCTGACTCACTTTTGTTGGCCTCACTGCTCTTAGCCCAACGTTTATATGTGGTAGTTTTCAGTAAAGGGAAACCTAATAGAAACTTCAAGAAATTTTCAATATTTGGATACTTTGAGTTTCAGTTGTTAAAGTACAGCTTTCTTGGGCCTTGGGAAAGGCCCACTGATATGCCTAAACAGCATTCACAGTGAAAGAGGAACTTGAAACGTTAAAAGGGGATGTATCGCTAAAATTACTGATATACATAAAATGTAGAGTGTCTGGCCAAGGGTAGGAGACAACTGGGTCTTTTAACATAGTGTCTTACTTTCAATGGATGCATAAAGCAATTCTGAAACGTTCATTCTTCCAAGTGCATCGTTAGATTGATAGTCATACTTTGACACTTTTCCCCTTCATTATAGTCATCACTTTCCAAAAATGCTAATATTCCAGGAGACTTAAATTTATTGCACTTTCCACCTATCCAGTCTTCCACTTAGGTAGGCCTCAAATCTATAGGGTTTATGACAAATGTATTATATCTAGTTAAGTTGAGTTTAATATTTCTTTATTAGCCTGTAAATAAAAAAAGCATCTTCTACATAAAAAAAAAATTACAATATTTTTTGTAAAATTTCAGTGAGGTCTGGAATAGAATTTCATTGCTAAACACTAGCCCATTAGGCTTAATAGATTTTCATTCTAGAAGTCTGATTATTTAAGTATCGAACAACACGAGAAAAAGTAAAAAGTATAAGAAAAGAGATCTGCATAAGACTTTAACCAAAAAGCATTACAAATGACTAGAAGGCTTTTAATAGGGAGAAGAAATAAATAAAGATATGTAAGAGGAATAAGTAGTACAGTAAAAAGTAGGGGCTCTGGAGTTATATGTGTTGATATTCAAATCCCATTTCTTATACTCATTTGGCTGTGTGTTGTTTGTTATATTCTTTCTAAGCATCAATTTCCTTATCTGTAGGTGGGGATAAAAATACTGTCTATGGGGTTGTAATGATATTTATTTATCTGGAAGTATTAGGGCTTTGCTCATAGTGAGCATTTATCAAATATTTATGATTATCAAAAAATACTGTGACAGAATTTATTTGAATTAGTCAATAGGTATTTAATACATAAAAATAATGCTTAAAGTTTTGTGCAAAAGGAAGACCCATCTCTGTCTGCAAAGAACTTAATAATTTTATAAAAGCTGAATGCAGGTACATTTCTGATATAGCTAATTTTCAAGTCGAATTGATTGTGTTCAAATTTTAACTCTGCTAATTACTCATGGGTGACCTTGAACAAGTTACACGTCCTCTGTGAGCCTTAGATTCTGTCACCTGCAAAACGAGCATAACAACAATAACGCCTACCTCATATGGGATTAAATAAGATAATGTATAAAAAGCATTTAGTAGAATATCATCATGATCATCATCATCATCATCATCACCATCATCATCATCATATATTATGATTTTTCATTTATTGAAGAAATCATCAGGGACTCAGTAATTTGCGTTTCTTGATTTTTAAAAATAATATAAAAACTTCATAAACTTCCTGGTAAAAGATGGGCAACACTTATAGAATTTTACTGAGTACATAAAAGAAGCTTTCAATAAGTAGAAAGGCATACTATTTTCATGGATGAGAAGACTTAATGTAGTGACTGCAATGCCTCCCTAATTAATTTATAATTCGATGTAATTCTAAAGTTCCAATAGGGTTTTTATTGCGATTAATAGGTGGTCCTTAAATTCATGTGAAAGAATAAATGGTCAAAAAAAATAGGCAAGGTGATTCAAGAAAAAAAATGAATAAAGGAGAATTTGCTCATTCAAAAACCAAGATTTGCTATGTGAGACTGAACTAAGTAAAACAATTTGGAATAGACAGAGATAAATGAACCAAAGGAATAGATGGAAAGCCTAGAAACAACCCACATATAATAAGAGGGTTTATATTTATTAGAGATGGCATAATAAATCAGAGGAGGAAATGTGAAATAGTGCTTGATAAACTGACTATCCAATTGTGTAAAGATAAATTAGATTCCCACCTCTACAAATTATATTCCAAAGGATTAAAGATGTAACTATGAAAAGCAAAATTATAAACTCTTAGAAGAAAACATGAGAGGATATCTTTATCACTTTAGGGCCAAGAAAGAACTTGCCAAATAATATAAATAAGCACAGAACATTTTTAAAATTTGATGTTTGACCAAATTAAAATTAATGTATTTTTTATGATAACAGGCAACAAAAATAAAGTGAAAAGACCAAAGAGTAGGAAAAGATATTTGTAATCCTACAACAAAAGATTAGTATCCAGAATATATAAAGAACTGTAACAAATCAATAAGAAAAAGGCAACCGATTCAACAGAAAATAGGCAAAGGATATGAACTGGCAAATCACAAAGAAAAAATGAATGCCTAATAAACATAGGATGCAAAACCACATTAATTGTCAAGAAAACGTAAGTCAAAATAAAATATGATTTCACATTAACCATATTGGCCAATTAATAAGTCTGTGTTAGTGGAAGTGTGTTTACTACAATCGCTTTGGAAAGCAATTTGGGATTTTTGATTAGGGGTGAAGAGGAGTGCACCCCATGACTCGGCTATTCCTTCTCTAGAGAAACTCTCAAAATGTCTGCCCGATGAGGCCCATACAAGGATGTTCCTTGCAGAGGTAATAGTTTGTAATAGCAAAAGCTGAAAACAACCTGTTTCTCAATAAGGCAATAGATAGACTGTGGTTTATTCATTATAAAATGTAATACCGTACAGCAGCAGTTGACATGGAGAAACATATATGGGTAAATAAGATAGTATTTGTATCATTTTCAAACATAGACCAATAGTATAATGGAAATATATATAGGATTTATACATATATATGATGTAAGAGCACTCAAGGGATGATTATTTTGAGAAGTGGGCATGGGGTTTGAACCCTGTTAATATTTTATTCTTTGAAGGGAGGGAAGCAAGGAAGGAGAGAAGGGTACAGGAGGAGAAAGAAAGGGATTCAATCCATGTAAAGCAGTATGATAAAATGTTCATGTAAATTTAGCTGGGGTGGCGGCTACACAAGTCTCTATTACGTTATTTTCTATTCTTGTCTATATGATTTATGTCTTCATAATTAAAAAATTGAAAATTGTCAGCACCACTCCAAAGCAAAACAAAATCCTACCCACTCCATGTGTCCATGTCATTAAATCCACTTTAAGATTTCCTAAAACACTCCCTGCCCCGTGGACGGCACTCGTTTACTTAAACATGAGACTTTACTAAGGCCATCTAACATGACTCAGCCATCTTTACCTTCTTCGAGTCCCCCGCTTTTCAATGTTCAAAGAGTTTAATGTTCATCTTTTTTTTTCAAATCCTTTTAATTAAGCTTAGAGTAGCAGTTTAATCGTGCTACCTCACTCTATTTTCCAAATATTAACTTTTCAGTTTCCATCATGAGATGTATTTTGAATGGAAGGATTACATTCAATACTTTTTTGCTCTTGGGCTTCAGTGTTGAAGTTTAATCCCAAGAGAAGATAGAAAAATATATACACAAAACAACATATTTGGATATGAAAATAGAGGTAGACAGCATCTTTATAATTCCAGAAATTAGCTCTACCATATGCAAGTTAAACTTACTTGTAAGATAAGTTAATTCAGCAGCACTATTGATGCTCAGTAAATCGGCTCCTTGATTCTGACATGAAACATAAGCTTCTTTCCAAGAAAGAGCTGCCTGAGTATTAAATTGGTAGCAACTTCCAATCTGCTCATTCTGTTCCCAATTATCTTCACAGCCATTTTCTGTTGATAAAAAGATATGAGTGATCATAAAGTAAGTGCGTAATGTTTTCTATTACTTAGAATGCTTACAAATACTGCAATTCAATTTGCTTACTCTTAGGATATGCTAAGCTTATTGCTTGATTAGATCACATTTTGATTCTTTGGTTACACAAAGAATTTGAAGTCGTAGGACACCAAATGACTCAGGCTGGTTCAAGCTTCCACTCTCTTATCTTCCCCTCTCCCTTTATCCCATATCAATTAGCCCATGCTTACCCTCTGCCTAAAGGTGGGAGTCTTCAACTGTGCTCATGTTGTTAAACCTGAGTTAATGGAAAACAAGCTCATGTGAAGATGGTGCCAGACTGTAGAGGGGTTGGCACACAGCCTGCAAGTGTAACCACTGCATGTATATGTGTGTGTGCAGGCATGCTGCTTAAATGCCCAAGATTTAGAGCCCAAGTGACTGTTATTGGGAAACCCAGTCCAAGTGTCTCCTTAATATTTTAATAGATGGTTTAATATATGGTATATACTTAATATTATATAATTATCATTCTATATGTATATGTACATATGCGTGCATATGTATACAAACATATACATTCATTGTATAATGTACATATTCTTTTCTTTAATAAATATTTAAAACATTTTAATCATGTATCATTTGAGACAAAAAACCTTCCAGCTGTTTCCTGAACAAAATGTATAGATTTTGATACAAAAATATACTCAAAGACTCCATTGTGCTCTCTACAAGAAGGAAAACCCAATGTAGGTCACATCAAATGTGTCCCAGGCTTCACATTGGGGGTTTCCAAAGGGCATTTCATAACCAGTCACATATTACAAGGGCTTTCAAGCTGGAAGGGCCCTTACATCTAACCTTGGCTAGCATCCTCATTTCACAGATGGGAACAAAGATTTAGAAGTATTTGTGGCAGAGATATAATCAGACCACTGGTCTCTGAATCTGGTCTTACCGACCTTCTGAATGGCTAACACTGCTCTTTCAGCCACTTCTGAATGGCCTAAATAGTAACAAAGGTTGCTGTGACATTTGGTGAAAACCAAATAGGTAGATTTATAAGTATATTACCTAAAGGTTCCTTATTACCACTGAGGGTCTATGCTTATAAATCTAGAAGCTTCCAGGAGAATAGTCATGTGTTTGCTATAAAATTAAAGCTCCATGGTTTAGCAAGTCCTTGGGTTTGAAAAACTCACAGGCTTACTTCTTCCAGAAAAATAACTCTGGGAGGCATATGAATGCATTAATAACACCCTCCCCTCCGCTCCCATCCCAAAGAAGCTAAGGGCATTGAGACACATGGCAATTGAGGCAGCAAGGCACAGTGGGATACATACATTGAGAAAGGAGGGTGAGAATCGTGGGATCTCTACCAGGCTCCACATGGATGGGGTCTGACCCTGGCATATCATTTTATCAGTCTGGATCTGCCGCCTCTCACCTAAGAAGTGAGGGTTTGCACTGGATAACTCCTAAGCTCCCTTGCATATCTAAAATTTCGATCCAGATTATAGTGACATTTAAATAAAACTGTTGTCTGGTTGACCAAACTCTGTTTGTTATTAATATTGGCTTTTTATTTTTTAGTAAGTTCTAGGTGTTGAAAAGCCTGTGCCTCTACCTAAAAAAGTAATTATCAAAGTGTGGTCCCCAGACCAGCATCATCAGAATGATCTGAGAACTCATTAAACTGCAAATTCTTGGGTCCTACTCTAAATCTCCTGAATTACAATTTCTGGAGGTAGGCCCCAGAAATCTATGTTCTGACAAACTCTCCAGTGACTCTGTTGCATCCTGAAATTTGAGAATCATTGGCTCAGTATAACCTCTTCATGTTGTTTGGAACCACATTTTAAATCTCAGGTTCCCTCAAGGAGGGATCAGCATTACTAGATCACCAGGTTGGATGCTGAATGGGGCAGGATAATACAGTTGTTTGGGACAAGGACTTCGGGATTGGATTTCCTGGCTTTAAATCCTAGCTCTAAAATTTATTAGCTGTGTGGCCTTATAGGCAAATGATTTATCTCCCCTGTACTGCACTTTTCTCATCTTTAGAATGGGGATAAATAATTATTCCTACTATATAGGGTTATGTGAGGATTGAATAAGTTAATATAAGTTGAGTGTTTAGAATAGTACCTGACACTTGGCAGGGCCTTATAAGTATTAAGTATTATTACTTAGGTCTGGAGCTGTTCCTTTTTTCTTTACTACAGATTCTTCCAACTTGTTGCCCATGAAAAACATTTCTTGAGTTCTCATTACATGTCAAGTACTGTGAATCCCTTTAATTCTCACCTGATTGGAAAGTTATATACCAGATAATAATGCAACTGCTACTTTGATCTCTCTTTCTCTCTTTCTGAAGAAAATAAATTATTTAGCATACCCTGAATTGTTTGTTTCTAAGAAGCAATTAGAAAAAAAATGCTCTGACCAATATAGAGGAATGGCAGAGGGAAAGATGTCACTATTTTTGAGAACGCCAGGAATATCTGCTCCGACTCTTTGCTTCAGGCCATAAACATATTCAAGTGTCCACCATCCTAATAGTGTTTCTTCAACCTATATCCCCCTCAAACTGCCTCCCTCCCTCTTTTTCTTTTCCATAAAACTTAAGAAGCTTACTCCCCTTCTGTTCATGCTTCAGTTCATTATAACCCAGCTTCTACTGCCACTAGTTTTTTGAAACTTCTCAGTTAAAGGTCATCAGCAATTTCCTAACTGTCCACGCCTTGTCTACTTTCTCTCCCCGAGGGATCTGGGCTACAGAACACTCCCTCATCCTTTGCCTTCCATGACACTATCCAGCCTTGGTTTGCTTCCCAGCCTTCTTCTGAAAGCAAGTTCATAGCTACACATTACTTCTCCCTCTTTCCTCAAATACATACTTCTTATCTAGGATAATATTTGTGGTAGTCATTTTTAAAATCATCTTGGACTCTTCCTTCCTCCTTTTGCCTCATAGAAATGATATCTTTTTCTTTCTAAATATAAAGTTTACTAGTCTATACATACCTGGTTTTAAGCAGATGCCCCACTTTTGATCATATTCATAATTTAAGGTAGTTGCACACCATGGCCCACTGTCATCTTCATCAAGGATACACTCATGATGCCAGGTCCCATTAACTAAGAATGGAAATTCACAAGGTCTCCCATAGGAGTTCCCATCTCTGGTATATATCTCTGCGGGTTGCAGGGAGGGGAGGAACAGAAGAAAGGAGAGTTAGAAACTGGATAATCAGCTTCAGTTAACCAATTTCTAAAACTGCTTTGAACGAAAGGTCGTTGTTTTCACTTATGCGAATACAGTATCTGGGTAGGCTGCATGGTGTGGAAATCGACAATTTGGATGCTGATTGCTCAAGTCTGGACTTGAATGCTGGCTCCCCCACTGACCAGTTGTGTCTGTGGGCAAGCTCTCCAACCACTCTTAGCCTGTTTCTGCATTTGCAAATTAGGAATAATAGTACCAAGCTCATATGTTTGTTCATGAGGATTCAGTGAGATAATCCATGTAAAGCTTTATTTATTATGGTGCGATGAAGCGCTAAAAGACTGTGGCTTGATCAAGTAAGGATCAGTAGACAACTGTGGCTGGCAGATTACTTCATCAGAAGGAGGGCCCTGCCTGAGATTAAACTTAAAATCCATTTTCTTTTCTTTATTATAAGTGGGGCCGGAAAAATACATTGGAATTACTCAGGGTGGGTGTGGACTTTGGAACCAAATGTGGAGTTAGAGAGATGGACAAATAGCCTTATTCTTCACAGACTGGTGGTCGAATTGAGGCTGTGGGTTTTGAGGAACTGGGAGGAAGAGCTGCTGTATCTCGGTGGATTTTTGAAGAGAGATAGGACATCATGATTCAGGTTATAAAAGAAAAACCAGTTTCAGCTGTGCAGTCATGGGACCAGCTGGTGGTCAGCGAGGCAGCAGAATTGTTTTTCATTTTAATAATTTTCCCTGGTAACGGACAAGAACTGAAAAATTATTTTAACCTAAAATGACTGGAAATACTAGAGGAAGTGCTTAATATTTATCCTGATAACAGATCTCTTGGCAAGGTGTTTTTATAGAATAGCCAACCCTGTAACTATTTTGGTCACCATTTCCACATCCTTAATTTGTTTAAAACTATGGCCATTAAGAGATTAAATAATGGCTATTAGGTAAAGCATAATAATCAGATCTTACCCTTTACCAGGTTTTTAAAGTCTCTTAGAATGTCTCATAGATTTGCATAAAAGTATCCTTAAGATAGTATTTGATTCCACATCCTTTATTATTCTCAAATGTTCACTTAACTGAAGTGTGAAACTAAATTTAATAGTTTAGAATATATTAAGCAGTGACACAGCAAAAGGTAAAAATAACTTAGATGTTTTTGTTGGCAAACAATCCTTTAAAGAACATGGTTTTGTTTTCCTCTGACATCTAAATGGTTCTGAACAGGGTACTTCTGTTAAAGAGTAATTTGTCCTTATTTTATAAGGATCTTGCTTATTACTTATGTTTTGTTTTCAACCATACCCAAACTCCCAAGAGCTCATGACCAATTTCTATTCCCCTATCACAACACTTAAAAAGACAGCAAATGACTATTGCTTGTAGAACCGGCAGGTTTTTTTGTTTTTGGTTTTTTTTTCCTAAATCCTTGTGTTTCTAATACAAAGTGCTTTCACTTGCTCTTTACCATAAGCCCTTGAGATCAGTAGGGCCAGTATTGCACTTTTTTGTGAAATCCCCATTTTTGCAGAGTAGTTAAGTGAAACATTTCAGTCATTCAGCTGCAAATGACAGGGATGAGAACCAGCTCTCTGATTAGAGTCCTTGACATATAAGGACAATTTGTGACATCAATGGCTGTCTCCTTAGGTTTCAAGTTATGTTTCATAGCTCGAAGCTGGGCTTAAAAAGCTCTCCTATTCACAATGTGCTCTGTAGAATGAAAAACATATAGCAACCACCACAACCGCAGCAGCTAAATTATGCTAACTATTCACTAAGAGTTTTAGTCTCACACATTTCTTTGCTGCTGCTGGACTTAAGTCCTATGGGTTTCCTGAGAGAGACAGGCTTTCCTGAGAAGAATCTTCTAAATGTGTGAAGAACAGCAGCCTATAAATAAATGAAGCGTATACATGGGAAACTAATATAAGTACTTTGGTCATATGAGACTAAAAGCTCCAATGGTTCAAGAGGTTGGCAGGCTTCTAAGAGTTGCTCAAAATTCAGAGTTCTACAGCCACCCCTACACTAAAAGTCCATTTCCTCTGCAAGATTCAAAATTCAAAGTGTGCTAGTGAAGCCAAGATATCTTAACCATACAGATGCACATCTGGATGCTAGTGAAAGCAGTGTATTCATAAAATGTATACAACTAAAGCTTTCTCTGTGAACAAAACTCGCACGGGATAGAGGTTAAGGAGAGAGGCAACATAGGACATGAAGACAATCGGTTTTTATTTATTTAGTTAGTTAGTTAGTTTATTTAGTTTATTTCTTTATTTTTTAACGCCTACAGCACCTGGTATTCTTAGGTGATCTCCCATCCAAGTACTAACCAGGCTCAACCCTACTTAGTTTCTGAGATCAGATGAGATCGAGCACGTTCAGGGTGGCATGGCCATAGACAGACAAACGTTTTTATATTAGAAGTAAAAAAAAAATTATAGCAAAGCCAAGGGAGAAATCTTGGTTTTGAGCTGTAGCTTTGCTATGACAAGCTTGATAACCTTGGACTTCACTTTGTTGGGACTTAGGTATCTTATCTTTCTTATCTCTAATAGCTAGATAAGGGGAGGACAATATGGGAAGTCTGAGAGTCCTAGTTAATTCTGTAGCTAAGACAGCAATCTCTAACCTAAAAACAAGAAGGAACTGCATCAATTTAGAAGAATAAAATTGTCAGGACTTAATATTTGACTAAATTTGAATGGAGGGAGAGGAAAGCAGGACAACTCTAGGATGACTTGTAGATTTCTGACATATATGACTTGGACAATACCAGTTATCCAGAGAGGAATGAAGAGGAGGCAGGTTTGGCCCTTGCTTCTGTACAAACTAAAACCTGAGGTATGTGCTGTCAAGTCAGAATTACATGTGCCTTTTCTAAACTTCTAAATTTCTTGGTAGGAAATTTAGTGTTTCAAATGTTGTATTTGGTAAGGTGAAGAAATGCTTTATGCCTGTTTAGCTCTCTCTGAGGTGGTGCCCCAGATGGGTTCTTATCCTTTTTGAGCCACTGATCATTTTGGAAACTGTGTAAAGTGCATGGGCCCTATTCTCAGAAGAATATTCTAAATGCATAAAATAAAACACATAGAATTACAAAGAAAACCAGTTATACTAAAATAAAGTTATTTGGGGGACTGGAGGAATTTACAATTACAACTATATCTTTCAAAGAAATTAGGGGCAGAAGATAGAAAGAGCCCTGCCAAGAAAATTATCCTTTCTGATTCTTGAACAAATACAATGAGACAAGTCAAATCCAGTTCAAAAGGTATTTTGTTTGGTTCCATGTTTTCTCTTAGTTGCCCAGTTGGAGAAAGGCTTTTATAGCACAAAATTTAAACTTGCCATTAAGTGTTATCCCAGAAACCAATCACTTTTTAAGGTTAAGAGGAAGCTGGCTAGCAGAAAGAGACTTGTTCAATTACTGAAAGGTTGAGAATTGAAGAAAAGGAAAAGTCCACCCTTAATGCTCTAATGTTTCCCCATAACAGTAGAACCTGACCTCTCAGAGGAAGATGCATCTTCACTAAGAAATCCAAGAAATAGAAAGAGGTTTCCCCCAGGACAAAAACTTGCGCAAATAAGGGGAAAGATGGGAGGCCAAATTTAGCTTAAGTGAGCTTTAAGAAAAGAGGAAAACCTCTGTAAAGCTATGTAAATTTACAAAGAAGAGCAAAGGTAATAGTTAAGACTTAGATAATTAAATATGTATGTATATATCTACATATATATATCTCAACATTTGATGTAATTTAGAGCAACATAATAGAAAAGATATGCCTGGGTGACAGCTAATTACATTTAGAGGTTTAAAAAATAAATCTACCCATTCTTCTTAAACTTAGAAATTCCTTATAATCCAGTCTCTAGACTCAGAACAAAGTTCACAATCAGCTCCCTTAAAGGTAATATTTACATATTCATTTTGGGAAGCAACTGAGAAAAAGTCCACTCAAAATGCTGAATCATAAATACAAACATTAAAGTGTGATAGCCTTGCCAAAAATAAAAATAAGTAAGTAAACCCACAGGAGGTTCTTAAAAGTTTACCATTACATCAAAATCTGCAGACAAAAAAAAAATCTGTTTCTTTTTGTTTTTCTTTTTTCTACTTTTTAAAACTTAGAATAGGTCTGACTTTATTAGATCATTTGACTTTTATCCTGTACAAAGGATATCCTGTTACTCTAAGTTTTCTTTTGCTCTGGAATTCAGAATATAATCATAGGAAGTACATATGCTCCAGAGAGATCCCAAATCCCAGTGTGCCAGAGAATGGCTGTGTGATCTCTGGCGAGGCACCTAATCCTGGCCTTACTTATAACAGGGCAAAGAGCACTGACCTCACAGGGGCAGCTCAAAGTTATTGCCCAGTGCCTGAAACTGAATGCTGGTTCACTGTCCTTACCAGTGTACAACTTTATCTGCTGTCAGTTGTGCATGTTCAATGCTACATGTACCAAACACAACAGCAAATGAGTCAAAGTCCCTCTCCAATACTCACCATGGTAAGGCTGGTCACAGAGGGCTTCCCCTGAGCCTCCTTTCTTCCAGACATCAGATGAATTTCTACTTGCTATGGCGTGTCCACCCTTCAGGGCCAGCTGGGACTGGGCAGCTCCATACAGAGAGTGGTGCTCACATTTCCACCATAACATGGCATTGGAGTCACAGCTGAACATTCTCAAGGAATCCGTGGGTTTGGTAATATCTAAGCCAAGGCACTTCTGGGACTGCAAATGAAAGAGCCGATGCTGGGACACCCACTTCCATAACATGTCCTCGGTTATGTCACAGTCCTGTGCTACTATCCAGTCATTCAGCGGCTTGATGCACTTGCCCGTGTTTTCATTGACGATCGTGAATGGATCATTACCTGAGTCAAGACAGACCGTCAAAGAAGATGTATCAGGATTCTGAATTATGTGACTAATGTGCCTTGGCCCCTGTTTGCTGAGGAGAGTCTGAGCACCACTGGACCGTTCCCACCCTCCAAGCTGTATAAACTCTAATGTACTAACTACACAAAGTCAGAGGACGGTGGTTGCCAGAGGGGCAATACAGTGTGGGAGAAGAGCCTGGGGTCTGGAGCCCATCTGCTTGGGCTCATAGTCTGCCTCTGCTACTTCTTAGCCACGTAATCAAGGCAAGTTATTTAATGGCTATGCCTCGGTTTCCTCCTTTGTAAAATAGTACTTCATACAGTAGATGCGAGGATAAAATGAGCTCACACATGTAAAGCACTTAGAATAAATAGTATGCATATTCGTTATTGTCATCCCACGAACCATTTCCCCCTTTATTTAACAAGATGAAGACGTGCCTTAGTCTTGACCTTCTTTAGACAGGTGGTCTACATTCAATAAAAAAATATCCTGAGCCTATTCAGGACCACAATTCTGTCTTACTTATACTTTACTGCGGCAAGGTAAATTATTACATGACATTAATATGTCTCAGAGGAGATGGGGAGACTTCTAGCGGGCAGAAGTAGACAGATAAAGGGATGAGAGGCAATGGAGGTCTGGGTTCTGAGAGCAGGGGGGACATGTGGCCAGCTCCGTGTAGCACCTCCAGGAAGGTGACCGGAAACCCCTGTGGGAGGGGCCGGGGGACTAACTGCATGGATCACCTAGGGAGGCCAAACCTGAGCTCCAGCAATCACCTGTGCCACAGGATTTAAGACCCATTAGATCTGTACAATGGAAAACTCAGAAGCAAGCAGTGTGAGCTGAACGCTAAAGGGAGGATCATCCGTGAATGTTCCCCTGGCAGTTTTGTGTGATCTGGGGAAGACCACAGTAATGACGAAACTGAAGTTCTGTTAACTTGGCGAAAAGGACCTCAGGATAAAATTGAATTTAATTTTATGAAAATAATGCATTGTTTCTTACACACATGAGTTTGTGGAGCAAGATTCACATCTGTTACAATACACTACAACTGAATAATTTGGCCTTTTATAATGACAATTTTTTTGAAGTTATAGCACAGAATTTCATGTTGATGAGAGTAAAGCTGAAATATTTTAGACAGACTTAAATAACAAATATCAATGAACCAAAGGATTCAGCAGACAGGACTTGTAAAATTAGTTCCCAAAAGGCCTTTCATTTTGACGCCAACTTCACAATCACTAGTTTTACTAACACTTTCCTAATAATAGTCCACAGGTTTTCAGAGTAAAAAATTTTCATACCAAGGACTTGAGGGGAAATTTCATTATGTAAATAATAACCATAAAATTAAGTGCAATTGCAGTTTGAACTTTGGACAGAACTTTTCGTTTTGAATAGCAGCAGCAGCAGCAGCAGCAGCAATGAGAGAAGAGATAGGAATAACAAAATCCTTTAAAACTTTTACTTATTTCTACTTTCAAAATTGTATTTAAAAATATTGGATGGGGTTGCAGCTCAGTATGCTTGTCATAGTAGCTTCCATCCCTTGCTCTTCTTTGACATCACTCTGCCATTCTCTACTTTACGGACACTTTGGGTGTCCATACCCAACATAAAAGGAAAATGCATTATCTTAGATTACCACTCACACTTTCTCTAATGTCCTCTCACATATCCAATAGCCACTCAGACCCATGATGTACCATTTTCCCAAGCTATTCTTTCACCTGCCCAAAATAAATCTTGTGTTCCAAAGTATCAGGAATTACTGCAGAAAAAAAGAAGTCTGCTCCTGAAGAAGAATGGGCTGCTGCCATCCCTTTGCTGGAAACTTCCCCTCCTATAAACTCACTGGGCGCTCAGCTCTGTGCTCTTTGACTCCAAACAGGTGAACTGAGCAAACAGCAGCTTTGTCTACTTTTGCAGTTCGGAGTTCTAGATTTTTTCAAGTTGCCTCTGCAGGATCCAGTAGATTACTATGGCTCTTAGTACAGTGAAAATAGCATTTGAAATAAGGAATTAGGGGTCCTACATTAAAGACCTACCTCTGCGACCAGTTAGCTGGAAGACCTCGGGGAAGTCAATCTCCCCAAGGTCTTCGTATCTCTAAATGTAAGATGAAAGCAGGGAAGGATAAGATATTTAAGCCACTTCCAATTCTAACATCCTATATATCCACAAGATAACAGTTTTCCTAGTCTTGTTGGTTTTACTGGTCTTTGCTAAGTTCACCACATATTTTTCTTGAAGAGATGCCTACAACTTTATTATGTCATGCTAATGCTATCAGCAGTTTAGGTCATTCTAATTCCATTTGTATTGAGCATGTGCACTTAGGTGACAGTGCTGCTTCACATACACTGCTTGGAAGAGAAAAAATATGTACCCTTTTCCATTTACTATATGTTTTACTGCTGGGACATCTGTGGACTTGAAGCTTCTAGGAACTTTGAAAGACTACAGGAGAGGTGTGGAGGAGCTATGTGAAAGAGGAGTTGCCAAACTTCTTACCTAATTGAAACATCTATGATTGTAGATACTTCCCCCATGCTGAATCTGTTTTTACTCTGGTATGTAGTATCACTATTTGACATCTATAGTAGTCATTTAGCACAGACATTAATTACTGATATGATTTAAGGAAACTTGTTATTAGCCTTCATACATAATGTATGTTTAAGCATTTGTATATAATATACATACTAGGGAAAGTCAGGTCTTCTCATGTTTCCCCATATCATTCTGTACCCTTAGTAGGAACCATTCAGTCAGCCTCAGGATGGTAGGTTGAAAAGTGGGAACAAAGACTAAGAAAGTGTAAAAATAATTCCTTATTTAGAAAAATTTTTAAATAATAGTATATAAAATATTTCAGAAATGCAGTACACTTTAAAAAGGTAATTACAGAGCAATTTATAAAACAGATTCTTTATTGATAGTCTTATATAGCATCTTGTTCACTTTACAAAACAGATTCTTTACTGATAGTCTTATATAGCATCTTGTTCACTTTACAACCTTATACTGGTCTTAAATGGAGTTTTAATGTTTACCTCCAAATACAATATTGGGACAAGTCTAAAAAGCAGAGATTGTTAAAAAGAAGCCTCATCACCCTTAGTTTAGCTGCTTCGTTTTATATAAACATTCTAGTGGTGTCTGAGAGGAAATGGCTATGTAGCGTTATCAGAAATTGAAAATGACTCTTTAGTATTTCTACATCCATCAAAGGAGAACTATTGTCTGATCATTAAGAAACTCCTGTCTTACAAGCCCTAAACCAAAGAGCTTTGTACGTTTCAAAGAGAAACTGAACATCAACATTTCATAACCACAGACAAATGGAGAGGGAGATTCTCAGGAAGGCATGAAAGATAAAGCCTGTAGCATTTTTAACTTAATCAGGGGATCTTCCATAACCTACAACTGCTAAGCATTTTGTGGAGTTGCTACCATGTGTGCAGAGTGTACAGGTGCAGCAGGAGAGAACTGGAAGTCTGGGTTTGTCAGTTCAAAGACAGGTCCTGAAGCAACAGTTGGGTCCATGGCAGTCTATCAAGAGTCAAAAAGCCATGGAGTTCAGATTGGGGAGTATAGGCTAGTGAGAGACTCCGAAGTTCCTGAAGGAATGGTTTACTTCAAGCTGCTAGCTCTCCAAGGAGGCAAAAAAGTAAACTAAGCAATTGGCATTTCCCCAAAGTCACAGAGGTATTCCTCTAGCATCTGAGCAACCGAGACCACCTGTACAAACCTAGCTGTGTACATAGGATGAGGTGCATGCCATTACCAGCATCATGAAGCTGACACACTGCCAAACAAGCTAACTAAATAGCTGGGGTTTCAAAATTCCAGTGCTTTCCTTAATAGGGCTAACCAGAGCAGCTGGTAAGGGTGAGGACAGATGCAAGAAAACAAATACCTGTGAGCACCTAGTGCAAGGAGAATGGAGTTAAGCCCATGCTCTTTGCTTTGGTTGAAGAGAAAGCCCGGGGATTGTAGAGATTGCAAAAATTAAGGAAATATTGAGCTCTGTGGGGGGAGACAAAACATAAACCTAAAATAGATGTAGATGGAAACCAAGAATTTGGTGATTGAAAGGTTAGTGTGCTTCGATTGTAGTTAGCTGCTGAAAACTTTCTCCCTGGGTTGTGGGGCATGCAGAATAGAATTCTCACAGCAATAAAAGGACTTCTGGTAGTTTCTAACACGGATCAAAGAATGGAGAAGTGTGAATCAGAGCAGGGTCCACTAAAAGGTCCTTGATGTAGGTAGGGTGATGCCACTGACACTCTGAGAAACCTCTTCCCATCACTCTTTGAACAATGTCTAAATCAAATCGTAACTTAGTTTAGCTGCAAAGAAAACAAGAGCCACAAGCAATGTGAAGTTTTTCAAAAACTCCCTTGATCAGTATTTACTTCCTCATACGGTAAAGATTACAGAAGTGGGGGGTGGGGACGGCCCGCTGACTGCACACTGCCCATTGTGCAGCTCGACTAAGAAACAAAGTCCTCAGTATACCTTTGCCAAGGCAAAAAGAGAAAGCAAAAGCAAACTCTGGTCGCCGCCAAGGGGTTATGGTGCGGCTGGCATTACCAAGGGCATCAGCGAAGGGTATTGGTTCCTGGTCCTGTTTCTGCAACGAGAGGCAGGAAATTCTCGGGCAAATGACCCGCCCTCCACTGTGGGACCGTCGGTCTCTCGGGGATCATTTGGAGTTGATAAGCCAATTAGAAGAAAGGATCTCTGCTCGAGGCACACGGGCTGGGCATCACAACAGAGTCCTGATCGTGGTTACTTTAGGAGACATGGCTTAACCTAACTTCTTTTTTCACTTGCATCAGTAGGCAGTGAAGTTGCGGAATCATTACTCATCTTTGGCGTTGTGGATAGAAACCTCTAGACACCGAGTGGCCAAAGTGAACCACCAGCAAAGAAGAAGCAGGACGGGCGAGATAGGACGTGAGGCTGTTGAGGAGCCCTAAACTCCAGGGAAGCAAGTTAGAGGAAAGAGGGTGTGGAGGGGGCAGGGGACCCGCCCAGAAAAGACTCGGCGCGCCTCTCCTACCTGTGGACTCCTTGCTCTCGGCACCAGAAAGGCCCTGCCTTCCCATGCCCCAACCTGCCCTCTTTCGGACCCCAAAGAGCAATGGAGCGCCTTCTCCCCAGCTCTCCCATTCGGCTCACTTATCCGGCTCCAGATCCCCGAGCGAAGCAGAGATGATGTGACCCCGGGCGCAACCCTAACCCTAACCGAGGGAAGTCGGCGGATCTGCCGGCGTCGAGGTCCCTAGCCGGCTGGCGGGCGGGCGGACGCTCCGCAGTTACCTGCGTGGCCAGAGGGCTCCGCCAGACGGAAGCACAGGAGCAGCACGAGGAGCTCCGCCGCAGGGCGAGGGGTTTGCCAGCGCGTCCTCATCCTGAGCAGGCCCCAGCGGTTCAACTGGCTCCTCGGGCGCAGGCGGCACCCAGCCCTCCCAGTGCGCCCAGCCTGCCCCACCGGCGCCTTAGTCCTCAGGTTCCCCCGGCGCTCTGAGTCCTCCTCCGCCGCTCTCAGCCAATCGGATCAGCATGTTTTGGTTCTCAAGGCAGGGAGGGGCAGGGCGGTGAGGGTGGGGTGGCGATAGGAGGCGGGATGATGACGCGCAAAGAGCTCTGCGCACCTGCGACTGGCGGGATCAGCAAGGAGCGGGAAAGTTAGTGTGCAGCTAGAAAGCAGCGCCCCGCGCAGACCACCGCCTTTGGGGAGTCTGGGCCCTGCCTCTTCATTCGTAAAGTCAAGGGAACGCGGCACTTGCTGGGACTTGGCATCGACCTGGTGGGTGAATGCAGTCAGTGTAGGACCTTGTTCTTTGCCTAACGCACCTCAGTCAGTGATGACTTCGTTGCACGGCTGGATTTGAAAGGCAACCACATCCTCTCGTACCTCAAAAAGGGAAATGTGCACCCGTCGTGGTGCAGCTGCAGCCAACCCAGAAAATTCAGTCATCTTTGGCAACGTTTTCTGCATTTTGATAGTGCAAACATAGGGAAGGTAATGCACATTGCAGTTCGACCTGCAGTTGTTAAAGAATTAAAAGCAAGAGCTATTCGAGAGACCCTACAGTACTTCCAAGGATGACTTTGGCTTTATTACCATTTGACCTTAGGAAGTAAGCTCTTTCTAAAAAATAATTTAATAATAATAACTAATAAAAATAGTAGAAATGTGGACGTCTGCACCCAAAACAGGTAATTGTGAGAGTAGAATTTCTCCTCTCCCCGTGGGAACTGCTATCATTATAAGTAGGGTGACTTAAGTTACCTGGTTACAAAGGTCCAACATTTTTAAACCTCGTGTTTATTGAGCATGTGCCGTATAACTCTGATGGCCTCCATCTCTGGCCCCCGAGAGTGAAGTCTTCCACGAGGGAAATATCTAGGTTACCTTTCTGATTCCAACTGCCAAGACTTTGCTGATGGTTCCAAATCTTCCTTGGCTGTGTTCTCCCTCCATGCTCCCCACTTTCAGTTAGGTAGATACGCTGGGCAGTTGCCATCACAGGAACTGGGTACCTTCCAGGATAAGATAAGACAACATCCCTGCCCTCTCAAGCTTACTGAATACTGGAGGAGACCGAGACACACACAATAACTCAGGGCAGAATGAATGGGGAGACTGGACAAAGCTTCAAGGAAGGGAACACCTCAACTGGTACTGGAAGAATGGGTAATGTGTAGGAGTTTGACCAGGCTAAGCTGGTGGCAGAATAGAGGCAGGAAAATGTAAAGCAGTGTCAGAAGACAGTCAAGAGTCCAGGGTGGCTGCCCTGCAGGGTGTATGTATGTGTGGTTGTTGAAAGTAGTTGTGGTGGGGTTCTTAACCTAAATGACAGCAGAAAGGTGAGTTGTGGCAGTTTGTTAAAGTGCCTTAAATGGATTATAAAGCCTTTGACTTGATTCTCTAGGGAATGGTGGTGGAAAGTTCTGACTAAGACACCCTGCTAGTCCTCTGATTGCTCTGCATTTGTGGCTGCTTGCCTTTCTGATCCTGCTCAGCCTGGAGCTCCTTGAGGGCAGTGATCTCTTCTTTATTATCACATCCCTAACATGGAGCACCAGGCTTGTCTCAGAGTTAGCTTTCAATTAATATTACTTAATTAATGAAATCTTAGAGCCCTCCCATGGCCTAAGGCCATATGAGCTACTGCTTGCATTATATTACAGTAGTTTCTCAATTGACATCACTACCAACTACTATTAGCCTCTTAGGCAAATAAGCCCTTCTAAACACGGTTTGGAACAGGGCACTTCTCTTTTACTCAAATCTTTTCAGTGCTTCTTGCTTATAGAAGGGATGCTTGATTAAGAGTTCAGGGGAATTTGAACTGAAATTGTATGCAGCTTTGCAAATGAACTTTTTTCTTTTTCTTTTCTTATCCTTTCCTTTTCTTGCCTCCTCCTCTTCCTCCTCTTCTTCCTCCTCCTTCTCCTCCTCCTCCTCCTCCTTCTCCTCCTCCTCCTCTTTCTTCTTTTTTTGAGGAGAAGAAGCCCATGATATAAAAAGAAACTCCATCTAGGGAAAAGCAAGCTCCATTATGATCAGACCTTTTATCTTCAGTTACCTTCCTATGCCACTCCTTGGTTCAAGCTACCTGTCTAAATCTATTTTGCCTTTTCTTATCTCTGCCCATGTATTTGTATTTTACCCATGCCATTCCCAGAATGCTTCTTTTCCCCCTCCCTTGTCTTAGTTCCAGTTAAGGCTCTGCTCAAATTTCACATTTTATACAAAATGTTTCTAAAAAGGATCCTAACCCTTCGGGATTCCAAACATCCGAATAATAATGTATATTCTGTTTACTTGGTATTTAACATGTGCTACCTCTTGCTATTATTATTATTTTTTTTTGCAGGTACATGTACACTAATACTCCACCTAGGTTATAGATCCTCAATATTTATTGTCTGTGGTGACAGTAGAAAGTAGAGTATCCTTCAAATTTCACCTGAATATCACTTCCTCAAAGAAATCTTTCTTTCAGTCTAGGAGAGCTTTCTGTGTGACAGGTTCTCAATGCATCCTGCAATTTGTCTTGATATTATTTAGCAGAGCTGGACTAATTATGTGCTTGCTCATTTGCTGAATGTCTATATCTTCCTCCCCCCACTGCAGGACCCATGAATGTGGTGACCGTATCTATTTTAGTCATTACTTTGTTCCCAGTACCTGGCCCTTGATTTGCTGGATGAATGAGTGAATAAATATATGGTGAATGCCTCATAAATGGTACAGACAACAGGAAATCTAGGCATTTAAAAGAGGGAAAGATAAACTAGGGTGGGAGGGAGGGTCTTTAGGCACTGGCTGAATGTCCTTGGATGAATAACATTCAATAGGTAGAGGTGGTGAGGAGGACACTCCAAGCTGAGGCAATGATTGGAGCAAAATAACAGACACCTGTGATCCACTGGGTGCCAGGCCATTTTGCTGAGCATTTCCCATGTGCACAATCATCCTATGAAAATATTACTACTATTGTCATTTTACAAATGTGGAAACTGGGACAACACAGGAAAAAAGATAACTTTGCCAAGGTCAATAGCCTTAAGCGAAGATACCAAGATGGAAATCTAACTTATAGAACTTGCATGAATGTGCGAGAGTGTTATTATTATTTTATCTCAATTACAATTAGAGAGTGGGAACATGAGCTTTTAGGACCTCTAAAGTCATGTTTTTAATTATATATCATATATCATATCTAAAACAGAGTAGCTATGCTTGTGGGCCTCCTCCTGGTTGTAGTCACCTTATTCCCACACAGAATCACTCTGAATTACTTATCATTCCTCTCTTTACAGATTTTCCATATAAGATTCATTCCTTAAATAATGCATATAATTTTGCATATTTTTAAAGTTTTATGTAAATGGAATCATTTCAAGTTGTGTTTTCTTTTTTGCTCAAAATTATTTCTGTGACATTCATTTGCGTTGGTGTGTGTAGCTATAGTTCATTCATTCTTGTGTGGTATTCCATTATAAGAACAAAGCGCACTTTATCCATTTTCTTATTGGTGGACGTTTGGGTAGGTTCCAGCTATCCTTGTATCCTGAGTAGTTTCCTATCCTCAGCAATGCTTCTGTGACCATTTCTGTTCATGTCTCTTCGGTGCGCACTGCTAGATAGTCCTGGGTGTGTATTCTTAGAAGTGGAATTCCTGGAGCATAAGGTATGTTCAGCATCAGCATTATTAGACAATGCCAATGTGCATTTCAATTTGCACCCCCAATGGTGTGGGCAAGCATTCCCATTGCTGAACATTTTCATCAACACTTGGCATTTTAACATTTTTGGTTGGAGGCAAAAATGATATCTCATTTTGGTTTAAAGTTGCATTTCCCTGATCACTAATGAGGCTGATTTTCCTGTTTTTTGGTTATTTATATTTCCTTTTACAATTCTCGTACAGGTTAGTTTCCTGTTTTCTCTTAGATCTATTCCTGTTCTTCCTGGCTTTGAATCCCAAGGAGCTATTCTGCATTTCGCAGGCTCCCTCACCTACTACCTTCTGGTTACATTCAGCCAATGGGAGTTTCTGGTAGGAGATAGAAGTTTGGGGAGAATCCAGAGTGTTTCTCTCCTCTCTGCTTTGGGAGTATGTCAAGCAGTGGCTGTGTCTCTTCTGTGGTTCCAGCTCCTGCCTAAAAGCCTCACCCTTTGTGGTCTAGTTACCCCCAGGCAAGCCTTGCCGTGTTTCCAGCTCCTTTTGGATGATTCATTCTCCAAGGTTCTAGTTCTGAATATCTGGCTTCTATTAGATAACACCATCCCTTCTCTCTGTCTCAAGCCCCGTGGGTAGTAGCAGCTTCTTGAAGTTGTTGCATTCTTGGTAGCCTCATTAGCACTTATTTTTAGCTCTTATAACACCTCTGTAGCTAGTTATTTCCCTATATTAAATTTCTTCTATTGAATTATCTAGCATGGATTTTGTTCTTTTTATTAGACCTTGATGATACTGATTCAACATAGGAAAAAAACTGTACTTGAGACAGCATCCGAAAGATACAAACAAGAAAACTATAAATGGAGCTTATTTAACTGCACGAAGAGTTGTGGCATAAGGAGAGCTAGTGTGGGATGCATTTAAACTGCAGTTTTGATGATGCCCATAGATGATCCCAGGTGTAGTAAGGAGGACCCAGGGGGCCTCGGCGAGGGTTTGGTCTAAGAATAAATTTTAAACAATTCCCGCTACACCCTGATAATAAAGTTCTGCATTTATTCCTGGTCATAACTAAACTCATGAGGCCTATAGTCATGGACATAGACCCCAAAGGACAAATACAAGATTCTAATTTATCCACTTAAATAACAAAAACCAAAATTAAACAGCTCGTATTGTTAAACTGAATTTCCTTTACAGACTTTAAGCTGTAGAGTTCTCAGATGAGTAAATGTTCCATTAGGGTGTCTATAGAACATTGACACAAGAGTCTGGACAAGGAGCCAATGTGGTTGACTTATTCACTTACTCAGCTTAACATCACGT